TATATATATATATATATATATATATGAATGTATGTATATATATGTATAATAATCAAATAATCTTAATGTACGAACAAATCTCGCTATTTATACATGATACATTTATTCTGTCTAATAATTAAGAATATGCAAGGTACTAATAGTTGTAAGACTAAAATTGAACCCGCGTTGGCCTGATAAGGAGCCGGAATAACGATTAGACATATTTATTTACAGTCACCAACATAGATAGTTTTTCCTTTTTAAGATAACTTTACAATTAAAGGATATTTCAACGACTATGAACTATATATGGGGGCGCACATCGTAAACAAAACTCGTTCGGTCATTAAAAGTAAGATGATATCAACGTCGTGAAAAAAAAGGATGTGTCCATTTAATAAATATATATATATATATATATATATATATATATTTCAAATTTTCCGATAGTCCCACGCGATTCTTCTCAGTCGCCCTCTTCTTCTTCTTCTTCTTCTTCTTCTTCTTCTTCGTCCTTTTCTTCATTGAATTTCATGTTCTTGCGGAAGACGAGCTGATAAGAATGCACTTTCATATTCATACGGAATACTATTTACAATAACATTATTTCGCGAGCTTAATGCATTTAAAGTGAGAAAGCACCTAATCTTTCTTCAGCTATAAGATTTATCCCTCCGTTAAAAGTCATGAGCACCTTCTACGTTCTTCTTTCACCGTCATGAGAAGAAAAGAAATGCATAGCTAGGAGCATAATTCGTTTTATTTTTATTTAGCGTAAGGAGCCTACAATATTTTCTACCACCGCGAAATTGCACGAAACCCCGATTAGTGTGTATGTGCGCGCGCATACGTATTTTAAATAATATTTTTTAAGTATCACGTGGAAAGGATTTTTTTTTTCTTTTTTCTTTTTCTTATTAGGCGCGTTTCCGTGTCTTATTATGATTCATTCTCGCATAAAAATTATATTTCATACATTGATAAGTATATTACAGCTGAAGTGTATGCATGAATTCGATTGCATCGACCCGCTTTACAATTTTTCTCCCATACATTGTCTCTTTATGCCGCAAAAGTCTTTAATCTAACATAGGGCCCATTTGATTCTGCGATGTGGACGTGTGCCCGTCTCTTTTCATGTGTGCGTGAGTGCGTAAGTGCGTGCGTGGTTGCGTGCGTACATGCGTGCTTGCCCCTTTCTTTGTATCTTTGTGTTCTTGTGTCCTTGGGTTCTTGTGTCTGTGCGCGTGTGTTACGTGAGCACGTGTGTAAGGAAAGTGTCATTCACGCGAGAAATATCGTTTATATATGCTTTTTTCTGTCGCTCTATATCACAGGCTATACCGTTTAACAAGGTGCGCATAAGATCTATAAATAATTAGATGAAAAAAAAACAATCGAAAAAAAAAAACAAATACCTCCCCTCTCTTATTTATACATTATCATTAACAATAAGTATTTACCACGTCAGTCGATTGAGGATCACGCGAAGCGCAACTTCGTCGTGCTCTTCTTAGTTTAAAATTCATTAATTTTTTTTTCCTTATTTTTTCTTTTCCTTTTCCCTTAAAATTCTCTTTCCATCTCATATTTTCATATTAAGTACATCATTAAGAGGTCTCTAACGTCCAGCAGTCTTTAATACCTTGGTGAGCCTTCAAGGTCAGATTCTCAAGTACATTCTCTTCCGGTGCATTAGCACAATGCCAGAACGGAACAATGCGTAAAGTCGATGATCATAAAAAAAAGCGAGTCGATGTATGCTCGCGAATGGGGATGGCCACTTGAGAATATCCGGCTCATTGAAACGCGAAAGATCTCTTGGGGGAAAATAGCCCGCAAAGTCGGAAAGCAACGTGACGCGCCGTGCATCTCGTTAAAGTAATCAATCGTGGATAAGCAAACAACCGTCCGCGGCGTGCGCTACAGTAGTTAAGAAAAGAGTCGATAAGTAACGAGAGTGGACGAGACGGATCGGGATGGGAATGGGGGGCGGAGGGGGGTGGGTGGGAGGAGGATGACTGAGCGCCGCGGTTGACATTACATTCCTGAAACGTTGTATCCAAGTTTTTGGGCTCTAAACATACGCTGTTCTCGGCTAGGAATACGCAAAGATAATTGAAAGCGTCGAAGAGGATAGAACGAGAACAATAAGAAGATGACGATGACGACGACGACGACGACTATTATGCAGAAGAAAATGAAGAATAAGAAGATAGAAAAAAACATACGATAAAGAAACTCGGATGCCTCGGGACACCCCCCCCCCCCCCCCAACCCCCCCCCCTTTCTCGCCCC